CAACCCTCTGTGCCCTTCGGTACTAAGTCACAGAGCCCTCGCCCTCGGTTCTAATACTGGCCAGGCTGGTCTCTCTCTCTCTCTCTCTCTCTCTCTCTCTGTCTGTGTCTCCCTCTCTCTGTCTCTCTCTCTCTCACTTTCATTTTCAAAGGAGCAGTCTGACCCGTACTCTGGAGCAAAACCTTTGGGCACCACACACACAATGCGAGGGGGAGTAACACAGACGGATGGATAAAGCAGCAGGGAGGCACTTGGCAAATTCTCTGCCGAGGCTCTCCTGGACGGGAGAGCTTTGAAAATGAAAGCGAGTAACTGAGACGCAGTTCAGATAAATCTGTGTGCAGAGAGCAGGCGAGGCCTCCTACAGGGACCTTTTCCTGCAGAGGCCACATCAGAGTGTTGCCTGGACACCGTGGTAAGCCGGCATCACTTAGGGGCCTTTCGTCAGGAAGGAAAACCTGACGTCCGAGTAAATTCCCAGTTTCTCTTTCACTGCTCTCCGTTTACTCCAGCCACTTAGCACAGTCCTCTCGTGACTGTGTGGTCGGGTCGTGAGACTTGGCCGGGGGGCTGGCAGCATCTTGCTTGTCACGTCACCCAGAGCTCCTCTCCTCGGGGAATGTCCGGGCTGCGGGGTTGGGATCTTTTGTGCAGAGTTTGGAGACTTAAGTCAGCGTGGCTGAATGTTTCCAAGTTCAATAGACTTAGTGGCTGAGCACCTAGCAGGGAACATTTAAAAATAAATGAATTATTGCCTTTCGCTGTTCGGTCTCATTCATTTGTCCTATTTTATAAATACTGCAAAGTGAAAGGATTCTGGATCGAGAGTCTGTCATCTCAAGAAAAAGCCACTGGACTGAGACTGAGGGTCTTCTGTGTAATGAACTTGAGCCGGGTGGCCGCCCGTGTCGGGCTCTCGGCAGAAACGCTGGGGACCGCAGGCTGACAAGGTCCTCACTGAACGTTCTCAGCAAGCCCGGTGGACGAAAACCGAAGCAGATAGTCTGTCTTGCTAAACTGCCTCCAAAGAATGCTTTTTCTCCCTTCCACCATTTACCCCTGGGGCCTG